GACTGCTATCTTCGGGGATACCCCAACTAAATAACACGACGACGACACTGTTAAATTTCATTTTGTCTACGTTGCAGTGGCGCAGTATGCTGTGTTATGTCACCATACTCCTTTGGGCGTCTCGTTGGACGCTGAGCCAGAGAATCCCATGTATAATAGTTGGCGCTTAATATTCCTTTCTTGATGTTGTTTCTTTTTCCCCCGAAACATCCTGGTCTTTTCTCACTTCTTCCCTTTTCGAATTCGCTGCATTCCACAACCTTATGCAGCATGGACACCGCCTTGCCTTGTCTTTAGCTGGCAACGGAGGGCGGCAAATTTATGGCGAGCATGATGATGGATGTGCCGATGGACTCTGGTCGGCCGATTATCATAGAGTTGCCTTGGCTAACATGCAGCATGCGGCTTTCCTCGAAATAGCCTTCCATAATAAGCTTGGATGGATGGTTTTGTTCTTTTTTTTTTTTTTCTCTTTCCTTTTGGCTCGAATGCCACCAATGCCGAAAGCTACCATGGTTTTTTATACACCATTGCTTGCCTGACGGCTTCATGGAAGCCATATCGTGATACCACGGTTGCCAGGAGAGTGGAACCCAACCTAGTTCCGCCTCTTAGTTGGCCGTTATTTTCTTTTACTTATAACGACTTTTTTATTGTCAACTATCTCTCTTGAGTTGCAAAGAATGACCTCTTGCCTAAAGCTAACTATTACGGGTCTCACCGGCTACGTTTCGCTCTGTCATGGCGCATAAATTTGTCCCCCTGATCGTATCACATATGGGAGAAGGGGTGGGAAGCTCAGGCGAACCACTCTAGCAATCACCTTTGGCGATTCGTTTCCCGCTGGATTGTCCTACACTCCCCTCCTCATTCATGCATCCCCCCCCCTTTTTTATCTTTTATTTTCTCGGATAGGTCTTGGCCGAATTCCAAGTTTCCCAGCCTCCCCATTGCCTATCTATCCATGTCCGGGGAAAGATAGCTTTGGATTACCTATTGCTATATCCAGACTTGTCCACTCCATTATATTATCAACACGGCACGGCTGGCCACACAGGGATTGTTCTAGTTCAAGGTTCGAAGATAGAATAATTGAAGAAATGTAGGATCTTTGTTTCTCCTATCACAATCTTGATTTCCCTAAATGAGTTTTTTTTATTTTTTCAGGTCTATCTGAGGATTAGCAGTTTTTAGCAAACATGCATGTAGAGAATAATAAGCCAGGACAATCCTTGCGCGAACAAGCCTGGTTCGTATCCAGGAGAAACGAGGAGACCCAAATCTTGGAAGGAGATAGGATGGGTAGAATAGTTGGTATGAGAATAGGGGTATATGCCCTTGAAAAAACGCCGACATCAAGTCATAAGCTAGAGGGAGGAAAGTCTAGCGGTCATCACATCAATTCAGAAAAAAAGATACAATAACAAGAGAATCAAACAGTAATTGGTTGAAGAAAAGAAAGCAAATGTCCCTAAGCCTGGAAGTAAAAGGTGGAAAGGAAGGAAAAAGGGGCCCAAGTTCAAAATTTTTTGACGGAAGAAGCCTTCCTGTGTATGATTTTGCAATCCATCCCTTTCCCATTTTTTGACCAAATGTCCATTTCACCGTATTGCCCTCAAGGTTCCCACCCATAAATAAGCATAGAAAACCCTAACTGCCAATTAATAGGAGAGAAAGTATTAAGAAAAAAAAAGTAGGCGGGTTCATAAAACCAAACCAGCAAGCAAAAAAGGGGAAGTCATCAAACTGCAGCACCTCCAACAATAGTATAACATGTAAAATCATCATTATAATTTTTTTCCTTGTTTTTTTCTTCCTCACCATCTTTCTTGTGAGGTGCTGAAACCCTAATCATGAGAAGCAGAATAGCCATTTCATAACATACATGAAGTACAAAAGTCAACCCGGCGAATCCGAGGATATCAAGGTAGTGTCGCTTGAGGAGAAAAAAGAGTCATCGTTATTTGAGGTTCGGCCTTGTGTGGAAACGAGCATTGAGGAAGTTATCGGGCCTGGCTTCTGCGGTAGCTGAATGTCGGGAAGCTTCCACGGTCTGCAGTAGAAAAGAGGCAT